AAGTAACTAGCAATGGGACGAGAGGAAATTACCTCACGCGACAGGGGAGGTTTAGATTGGCTATTAGGAAAACTGTCTTCACTGAAGGGGTTGTCAAGCCTTGGAACAGGCTGCCCAGGGAAGTGGTGGAGTCACCATCCCTGGAGATATTTAAAAGACATGTAGATGTGGTGCTTAGGGACATGGTTTAGTGGTGGACTTGGCAGTGCTAGGTTAACGGTTGGACTCCATGATCTTAGAGGTCATTTCCAACCTAAATGATTCTATGATTCTATGATTCTATGTTCTCCAGATTGCGCCAGTCTGTATGGGAAACAAGGGATTGCTCAGGGATAAGGCACTAAACCTGTGACAGATCTCCAGAGAAGCAGATCTTCAGGAAAGACTTCAGTAATTTTTAAAATGTTTTTCTTTCAAGATTAAGAAGCTATACCGAAGGCCCTACAGAGTCTGTCTGTGGTAAATTACCCAGTAGCTTCAGTTTCAAGACCACTCCCTGAAAAGAAATAATGAATGCAATATCATTTCTGCGTTTAGTCCTTTTCCTGACTATGATGAAAGATGAATAATGCTCTGCACTTGATTTTTAGCACGAATTCAGTTGACAAGCAAAATTTTTCCTTCTTCCTAAAGACGTCCTTTTTAATTAACTCATACTGAACTAATTTCCAAGTTATTTCAGCAGGTTCTTGATGTCTGAAACAATTTTTTTTCAGGCCTCCGAGTAAACCCACTATATGTCACTCCAACAATAAATGCATTTCCCATAAGTCTTTAGAGCTCCAGATGTCAGAATTGCCTGTATGTCATACTGGACACAGTAGAAGATGAGCTTCTCAGGGTCCCACAGAATTATACTTTCACTTTTTAATGAATATCACAAACACAGTAAGGACTAGAAAATGAAAAAGCAAATTACTTAAAATAATGCACAGTGTAAAATCTTCTCATTCATACTCTGGCGTAACTCTCTAACTCTTACAAGATACTGGTACCACATATGTTTCTTTGTCCTTTTTTCCTTTTTTTTTTTTTGGTGCAAGGTTCCCCCTGAGTTCAGATTTCCTTGTCCTGCCCTCTGTTTGAAAAGCAGGTGTCAGCCTACAACCAGTGTTCAACTTGTAGCTGAGGCTCTGCAGACTGTATAAAGAAGCTACTGAAAATCAGTTGCTATTTTCTCCGGAGAGGTCAGTACTGTGCTTATAGAAGAAAGTAATAAAAAACAGTATGTCTGAGGGAAATTGTTTTTCTGGAGAATTGTCCCTTGTAGATTACTGAAGCATGCATTGCCACTAATACTGTGGGAATGTTGTCAAAAGGGTTTTTCCACTGTGATGCATCTACAAATCACACTACCTAAGCCTCACAGTACAAAATGTTTGAATGGCCTTTTGCAATGAAAATATTCAGCTTTGAAGGTTTTGGGGATGGGAGGGATTTTTAAACTGTCTTAAGCTGACTGACTCTGCAACTTTATAGCTGTTATTGATCCCAAAGACAGCAATTCCATTTCCAATCCCTAATCTATCTGGGAGCTAGGAGGATAATGACTGTTGAATCTTCTTGGAAATTGGTGTACCAGGTAAGGAGGCTGCAGTACCTTTCAAGAGAACAAAGTCAGATCTTACTTTTGGAGTGAGAAAAAACAAACAAGCCCCCTATACTCTAGCCTTAAGAAAGATTCTGCCTTTGTGGAAAATCTAAATTGAAAATGCTGTTCTTGGATCAAACCTCAGTGTTGAATTTAACTACACCTCTTTACTGTGGTTAGAGAAGCCCTGCAAGCCAAAACAGCATCTAAGAACTACAGAGCCAAACTGTTACAGAGGCCATAACTAAGCTACAATTTTTACACATGCTATGAAGTCTTAAAATTTGAAAGGTTCTCTCAAAGTATCAGATTTAGTTGAAATAAAGAGTGAGAGCTATGAACTGGATCCATGATCTAGCTAGGTGCTATCCAGGGGCACTGAAGGCCTCCGACAGACACAGTACTACACAAAATGACAAAGAAGGAATACAGAAATTTGATCTAAATCTAATAGTTTACTTTTTTTACACAAAAGCCTCTAACAACAGTACCGGGATATATATACGTAAGATGTAGAAACATGCCACTGGACATTAAGGCACGGTGTTTGGTACAAAAGGCTTGTACGCATCTCCTTGCAGCGCTGTGGTAATATATATCAGCAAAGACACTCTATCCAGTGTTTATCAATATGAACTTGTGCACTGATCTGGCTGGACAGCCTGTCGGCTTTATCATCAGACTCACCTGAATGTAGTTGTCAACAATTCCCCAAGCAAAGCCACAGGGAAAAATCCCTTCTATGGGCTGGTTTTCAGGCAAAGGTGGGAAGCCATTTTTTTCTATCAGCTTTTGATAGAACAAGACAGAAGATTTGGGCATCAACTTCTTGTCGTGGCTTTCAAAATCAACATAAAACAATCCACGCCGAATGCTGTATCCCCTGTGCCATTCAAAGCCATCCAGGAGGGACCAGACCGTGTAGCCAAACACATTAACTCCGTCGTACCGGATGGCTGAGAAAAGAACAAAACCAAACTTATCGCAGTGCTCATTCTTCCTCTGTAGATTACACCGTATCAGCAATGTTTGCGGTATTCATGTGTAAGAACAATGCGATAAGTCAGATAAGTATCTCGGGGCCTGCCTCAAAGCCCGTTCAGGGAAGATATTTCAACTGCACTCAGGGAGCTGCCAGGGCATGGGTGCACTGTGCAAGGCAGTAGAGGTACCTGGCTTGGCTTTAAACAAGACAGATTTAGAAAGAGAAGCAGTGCAGCAGTGGTTTGAGCAGTGCTGCTAGTAAGCATGCCAAACCTCAGCCTCGGAGCAAAGCACACCACACTTCAACTGTTTGCAGCAGCTGAGCTAGTAACTGCACTGCACTGCACTGCGCTCTGCTAAGCATGCACTGCAGCTCACTCTGGGGTAGCTTAGGTGCCATTAATGCAGCGCTACCCTGTATGCAAACAAAAGTTACACTCTTTTTGATCCTTCCCCTCCACTACAAATACATATTGAGAAAACCCTGACAACACTTTTGGTGTGCTGATGAATTTTTACTACCAAGGATTTTAAGTAGAAGTGATAATGCAGGAAGACCCTCTTTATTTGATAATTCTGTCTCTTTCCATCTTTTATAGCATAGCATTTTCCAGCTTAAATATTTAAAGGTTTCTAAAAGTTCTAGGTCAACCATTTGACTTTTAAGAATTGCCACACACTTTGTAGGTTAAAATCAGGGTCTACTGGCATCTGTTAGTATTGCCAGCTTTACAGTTTTATTTTGAAATTCCAAATGATACTCGCTTTTAGTTGTATTAAACGCTGAGATTCAGCAAAACGTTCCTGGGCAAGGCTTGGCTTCAGGAAAGCACAAAGGAGTGTGCTTATTTTAATTACATAATTAGACCCACCCTAATTCAGCAATGCATTTAAGCACATTCTTAAATGTTCTTTTGAACTTGAGTTTGGCTCTGGTACCAAGAGTTTATCTTTATTACTCACCATCTTCTGTCAACCCAAACTGGGTACTGACTGAACATAATATTTTCTAGCCTAGTAACACTGAAAGCGTTATTTCAGGCAACCAGAATATCAAGATCCTCATTTCCTGGTTTTATTAATGTATCTCATTACAATCATTTATAAAGGACCACATGGATTCTTGATTGTAACCTTATTTCAATCAATTAAACGAACTGCAGTTAAATACGCAATGAATTTGGCCCAGTCTCTATCAGAGGTCATGAGAAAACATCTAAGGAAATGGACTATTTCTCCTCCTAAAGGCATCATTCTTTTGTGTTTGACAAATGCCAGTATTTTTCTAACCTCTGCATGCATCCATGATGACATCTGCTGTACCAGCAGAGTAAAAGCCAATACAGGTCCACTTTGTGAACTGGGCTCAGTGAGAATTTCTCTTTGAACAGCATCTCATCCCTTCTGTAAGTCATCACACAGCACTCCCACACTTCTTGAGCACCTCATAAAAATTCTCCTCAAATCCTTCTTTAAAAATGCATTCACTTTTAAGTGTCACCTATGAAAGAAGCAACTTGAAAAATTTTTGGAAGTTCCAAAAAGTTTGGAAGTCTCAAACATAGTATCCCACATGAATTGCATGTTATTGAAAAACCACAATGAAAATTATTGTCTTTTTTTTTTTTCCCCTTTTGTCTATCTCCCCTCTTTTTTATGTCTGTTAGTGTACAAGCCAGGCTGATTGAAACCTAAACCATCCTTGTTTCTGAAACTCAGTGGCCTTGTCCACACTACCTACTGGAAATAATTCCTGACCTGAGCAATCCCCCACAGCATGCCCAGAAGCGTGCTACTGTGCAGGCCAGAACTCTGCCAGAACTGGGTTAAAAATTAAACAGTACTTCAGCTCACGCTCTGTTTAGCTCACTAGTATAGAAATAGTCCAAGAAAAATTGGCAGACCCATAAGCATCAAATACAGATCCTTAAAACCCTCTGCTCAGCTGCTATCCAACCCCAGTGCGTCAAGGTGAAGTGTGTGAAGCCCACAGCCCCTGCTTCCGTGTGGAAGGTGCCCACAGATCTCTGTTTTGCCTCTGGACATACTTAAGAATAGCTCAGTCCTGACCTGTCAGGGGCCTGGCTGTTCCCGTTCTCCTTAAGACTCTTTGAATTCAGACCTGCTAACTCCCTTGGCTAGTCAACATGGCACAAAGGAGCTTGCATGCCCTCCTGGTCAACATCTCCACTTTACAAGGAACAATCAATTTACTCGTTGCACCAGAGACAGAGCAGGGAAGTGAATATGACCCTAGAGTAAGTGGTTAGATACCCACCCATGTGAGAAGACATCTCCAACCAATTAGCAGCTGTAATTAATATTTAACTACTTTATATTACAGCTCTATTTACTCTATTCAACCCTAAATGGTATTTGGAAAAAAACCCAGAAAGATCAATAATAGTAAACAGTAAAAGGATTTAGGGCTGTGAATCCCAAATAAAAGAGACCCTTTCCCAGAGCCAAAAAAAAAAAAAAAAAAAAAAAAAAGATGATAGGCACTTGTCTACAGCATGCAGTGTCAGGATGGGCATCTACATCAGCACTTCAACTGAAATCAGGGGCGCACTTTTGAGCAAATCTCCCTCCTTATCACACTTCGGTTCACAACACAGAGTGGTCTCAGGATGCATGACCTGGGTTCCTTTGGGGTGAAATTAATCCAGAAATGGGCTTCAGGAATGCACACAGTGTGGACACCAGGCCCTCAACACTAACTCTTTTTACTCTACAGGCTTGCTCCGACAGGGCTGCCCTTACTTGTTAACGTAGATATAGAAATAAGCAGTTTTGTCTGAACCAGTGCATATACACAATCAGGCAGATACTCACCAAATCTAGGAAGCAGCAAAACCACGTTTATGTGGCCCTGCATACATAATCTACATTAATTATCCTTGCTTCTCAGTGCTATAGCTCCAATGCCATTTTACTGCCCCGTGACTGCTGGAGTGAATCTGGTGGCAACTAGCTCACGAATCTCTACATTACAGTGCTTTACTGCACTGGATAGACATGTCCTAAGTCACTGAGAGAGACAACATGCGCCTTTGTCTTTGGTCTTTAAAGTTGTCCAGCAAGACTGCTCACAGCCAACATGATGCCTTTTGTGGATCTTTCCCAACGAAATTCCCCTAGGTATTGCATAGAGAACTTCAGTATTTACACTGGATTTTGCAGATTTTAATGGGCAGAAGAGTTGGGTCCAATAATTTTCATCATAATGATGCCGAAGCCCCTTCTGCAGATCCAGTCTGTCTCTGCTGGGTTTTTTTTCTGTAAAAAGTTTAGCCAAGCATTAGTATTCTTAACTTAATATGACAAGACTACTGTTGTTGTTGCTGTTATTATTATTTACTGAGTGGCACATTAAAAGGAAAGAAACTCTGTAAATTGAGAATGTTTCCAGCCAGCTGTGATTAAGGCAGATCCCTGTGTGTACGTCCAGCAATTTACAAACTAAGCAGAAATATGGGTAGTGGGAATATGACCCCTTATAGCTCTTCATCTGACTTCATGCAAACTAGTAATACCGTACTTGCAAGAGTTAGTAACTGTTTACATTTCATTCTTCCCATTTTGGATGTGCTGGCTCATGTATATATTCACCTGTTAATTTATTTGTAATAATTAGGTTTCTGGAATAGCAGATGAAACAAACGTGGGACTCCTGCATCTTCATGAGTGCTGAGAATAAAATGAAAGCCATTTTTGCTCATCCCCGGTATGAAAATGGCACTGTAACACAATGGCTATCTCGTCTGAACTAATAGCTACAATAGTACTGTTTTTAAAACCAGAACAGTAAACTGTAGACAAGTAAAACAATTATTAAATTGTAAATTAAGAAATTAAAAGACAATAAAAGTGGAAATGGGAACCCAAACAACTTACTGGTGACTATTAGGATTGAAAAAATCTGTTTTGCCACAAGGAAATGGGAATAACTCTCATACAAGCTAGCATATTTCTCTTACTGTTTGGCAAAAAATAATAGGTTAACAATTTAAATAATCTAGATTATATAACCTCAAACATTCAGTTCTCCTTAAACTGATGTAAATTCAGATTATTGTGATTGATGTCCAGAGCTGTACCAATGTAAAACTTGTGCAAGGGCAACACTGAGATGCAGAATGAAAACATTCCAATTTTTCATTTAAAAATGTATTCTTTCAGCCTTACGTTTTCTTCAGAGGAACTCCTATTGCATAGTATTTACCTTCCCACATATATATTCTTACATTTTGTACATACGCATTCATACATCTAAGACATGGAAAACAACTATTAATAAATAACACAGTAAATTTCCCCAAGTCCATTGAGACTACAGTTCACACATGTTTTGCACTTCCTCCCATCAAAGACAGTAGAAATTTTCCTACTGACTTCAAAGACAGCAGCATCAAGCTCACCAAATGCTATCTGCAGATATTAAGGGTCTTCAAGAGCTGAAAAGAACGCACCCAGGAAAGGGATTTGGAGTCTCATTTCACAAGTGCCAAGATGAATGTTAAAGACTAAAATTAGTTTTCAGCCTGGTTCTTTAATGTGTCTCTGTACGCTATTTTGCATTATTATTTTGTCAAGCACATATTAATACAACCTCACTCCTACCTTTTAAAGTTTCCATAATGAACTTTTTGAGATAGTAAATATATTTGGCATCATCTCTCTTGGTGCTACCAGAAACAAACCAGCTGTTCTCCACAATGAATATTTGGGGGTTGTTATATTCACTGCTTATCCAGTAAAGGAGCTGCCTCAGGCTTATTGATTCCAGCTGCTGGAATTTCATGTGGGAGTCCAAGAGCTGGAAACTCAGGGTAGCTCCAAAAGAAAGAGCAAAAAAGTCTGCTGTTCCCTTGATGTATTTCTTCTCAACTTCACTGAATTCAGGCAACAGAGATGAGAGGTTGCTCCTCATGCTCTCTGGATAGTCACCATCAATAAATATGGGCTTAGCAAACCAGCCGAGCACGAAATCAAGGGATTTTTGACATTCTTTTATGTTTTTTTCAGTCATATGTTGAGGTTTTATCCAGTGGGAGCTAAGGGCAATGGACACTTTTCCTCTTTGAGTTGGACGAAAATGGTCATTGTAGAGATGCCAGACTTTAGCATGGGCCTGTTGAAAAGAAAGATTGTAATTAATGCACCTGAAATTCCATTTTAAGTAACACAATTAGTCTCAAGTACTGACGTCCAGTGTCACGTAGTAACCACATAAACACGGCATTTGAGCGCTCAGCCTGATTCATTCATCAGCAGTTTACAACTCCTAAATTAACTTTTCTTTAACACCATATTAATACCAGGTATCAACTAGAAATCGCTAGCTGGTCGGGGAAAACAGCATTGCAGTTTTCCATGAGATACTATTCCAGGCACTGAACGCACTTTTGGTAGTTAGTTAGACACCTTTACTAACTTTTGTTATAAAGTTCAGACATACTTCCAGTATTTACAAAAATGAAAATGCATTTAACTAAACATGTTTCAAAGTATGTTTTCATTATAGGAGTATCACTTTATCTGTAGATTCACAGATACATAAAGAAGGAAGGTCTATTCTTAAGAACTGCCCAAATCTCTCAAACAATACAAGACAAAGAAACACCCTTGAACCTATTCCTCTTTGAAGCAGAACACACAGTATAGGAAAAACTACCAATCTGGATTTTAAAAAGTCTGGTGAAAAACAATTTACCACAGCTCCAGAAAAATCATTCCAATGATTGGATTTAATTTATTAAAATTTGCTATTTACCTCTAGCATCAGATTTCAAGCACTTGTCTTGGTATAATTTTATCCGTTACTGTGAGGAGATCTTTTCTACCAAATTTATACAGAGTAAGTTGAAACAGTCTCTTGATGTTCCCTTTGAAAGCTAAATAGATTAAGTTCCTGGAGCCTCACGTTATCTTCAGGCATAGCTTCAAGCCCTCTAACCATTCTCACTGATTCTCTTCCTCTGATTCTCTTCCAATTTGTCATCATCTGTCTTAAACTACAGAAGCAGAATTGGACATAATATGCCAGTGGTAGTCTTGCCAGCAGTAAAACCAGAGACAATTTAATACACTATTTCTGCTTATGTGGCCACAGCATTACACTGTGAACATATGCTCATCTAAACTACCGTATCTCCAGAGCCCTTCATCATCTAAAACATATTTTTTCTTTGCACCTACCCTATCAAAGAATTTTGACTGCTCTATGCATCAACATCCCATCTTTTTGTCATCTACACGTTAGTAGAAATTGTAATGCTTTTTTCTAGGTCATTGATAAAAAGGTAAAAAATATGAGATCTATTCATCAGAATAAAGCCTACCTAATAACTATTCCCAGTTTACATTTGCATTTTGAGACTTATCAGTTAGTATTTGTTCATATGTGCTGTGATGACATGAACCTCCATTCTTGCCATACAAAGTCACAGGTGTGACAAATATATATGACAGATTATTAATCAGTCACATGCATTTTTAGCCCTCCCTGGAATATAAACCATATAGAAAGCCTTATAATTCCACTCCATGCAGTTGGTATGTTGGCAAATTTTACCATTAATGTATTGATAGCTGTTGTTCGTTGTTTCCTTTTCATACACTCTTACCATTCAAGCTTTGAACCACAATGATTTCCAGTTGCCAGCATTCCTAGGAACATTAAGCAATTAAGATTACTAATAATTTTTAACATAGACGCTGTTAATTACCCAGGAAAAATAATTAATTCTATCATTCTATCTACTGTTCTTGCAGAACTTTAATTCCACTGCTGGGAGAAAGACAATTGGAAGTGACAGACAACTAAAGGTAAGATCAATAATCAAGGCTCAGTGCAGCTGCCCCCTTACAGAAACCTGCTGCCTTTGAGTATCATGGGGTATATAAAACATCTGTGCAGATCTGACACCAGCTCTAGAGGAGACTAGACCCATGCCCTTTTAGAGTGGTCACCAAAACCCAAAGAGAACAATCTTGGAAACTGTGAATCACAGTACACACCTATGCGCGTGTATCTGAATCAAGCTCTCAGTTGCAAACTTCAACGTACATGCTCTCATTTATAATACATCAATAGCTCAAATAAATGTGATGCAGTCCTACCATCTGTCTATATTAATACAATGGATTTTGATGCTACTGAGAAACTAAATATAGTAACCACTTCAAAGTCTTACGTCAAAAATGAGAGCTGACCTAAGCACAGACTTAATTTTACTTCACGCTGAATCTCCATTATGCTGATGAAAGAACAAAAGACATTACGCACCATGACCAAAACGCTACACACCCAATACTTTAAGTATGATTTTAAAAATACCATTGGGAACAAATGTGCCACCACTTGCAACTCAAATCCGCACACCCAAATTTTCCCTCATAAAGGGAAAATCTGTTGATTTTGATTGACTCATCTCCAGATTTCTTGTCTCAAATGTTAAGACACCACCATGCACGCTCTCAAACACACAATTTCATCTCTGTCATCTGCACCTGCAAGCATGCTGCCCTCCCACAGAGCACCTCGAGGACTATGGAGGACTTGCCCCATAACTCTCGGCCCTCCCTACTCCTATCAGTAGAGAGAGATCTTCCAGCATTTTAGTAGCCTTGATTCTACCATGAAGCAAGGAGGAAGGGAATCCCACAGGTTCTTTGTCTCCACAGATAAGGAGGTGCTGTTCAATCCCTCGTTGCAATGAAAAAATATGAAGTGTAACACTGTGGGATTATCTCATGCAACTTTACTTTCTAAGTGGGTCATCTAGTCTGCCTCTATAGAAAATGAGAAGACTGGTGTCTAAGATATGCAGGGTGAGTCACTCTTTGGGAGTCCATCTCTCTCCACTGATTTCAGACAAAACCTGTTATTTAGTTTAGACATGTTCTACAGACCGATGAAAGCAGGCAAAAAGAATCCCTCTTAAATACCTGCCCCCTGGAGTGTGCGTGAAGTGGAATTATACTATTTCCATAAAAAAACAGCTAAACATAGAAAATAGTGCATCAAAGTCCGCAGGCTCTGGTGGACATAGATTAATGAAGTAGTTAAAAAATGTGTAGAAATAAAACTGGAAGAAGCCAGTGACAGAGCAAAGAGTCGCTACGGAAATCTGGGACAGAATTCATTTGCCTAAAATTAGGTGTCTAAGGCAGTTTTAGAGACTTCAGAGTATTCCAGCCTCTAACTGCAGTTTCAGAAAGCTGTGAGTCTCCCATAAATCCTAAATCACATCTCTCAGCCCCACAGAAACACCTGGGACACTACAGAGTGTGTCAAATGATAATTTGCACCTATACCTATCTTCAGGCAAATGAATCCCACTCCTCATTTTGACTCATTTTGAGCTGAAGACACTTTATATTTCACTGTCCATATGTAAGCTAGATGCCCAACCTCCCACTATAGGCAATGGAGATCACTCTGCTGCCTGAACAGAGTCATCTAGTTGCCACTCCAGAACGATACAGGCCTATGTTACATCTGCCATTTCCATGTAGATGTCCTAAATAGCCAGGGAAGTCTCACATGGCACTACTTATACTGAGCTAATGGGATCCCACCCCAAGTCAATCTACTTAACGGAGTCTAGTGAGTGATTCCCCAGTACAGTGCAGCAGCCATATCGTCGCATTCAAAATAACTGTATGGATCAGCGGTAGGATTTAATGTAGGTGCCTAGACCTTTTTGAGATGCCTTACCTGAATGAAGCTGGCAGACATGATTCAGGACCCAATGGGAGACCTTGGTCTTCTGGAGCAGCAACTGGAGGCCAGGCAGAATATCCTAGGGTAGCTCAAATGACACTGTACCTTTGCTGGGACAACGGAAACCTCCTAGATGTCTGTTACCTATAACTGGAGCTTAGCCTCCCAGATCATGTACAGAGAAAACGAGTAGGAACCAACCTACCATCAGTTCCTTATATTTATCAGAAATCTTACTTCCTGATCTCAGTGACTTACCTATTGGTACCTATTTTTTAGTTCACAGCTGACTAGGATTAAGATCATCGCAATCCGCACTTCAGTGCTTTTACTGATACACAACATGGTGACTCCATGTCCCTGTTTTTGCAAGGTGCTGAGGGGTCTTACTTTGCTCCTTGTTAGCTCAGACAGATGTGCAGTGCTGACAGATCACTTGGCTTGACTGGAAAACCTTACTAAAAAAGTCTGGTTACAAACTGGCTCTAGGAAGAGTTGGGCAGTCACTCACGTGTTACGAGCAGAACTAACTGCTAAAACCTGTGTAATGGTTTCCAGGCTGCTGAATTTTTTGTCATTATTACTTGCTTTCAAAAAGTAGCACATATTGTTAGATACCAAACACTAGCCGATACCTTTTTGGGGATACTACCCTACACTCTTGAACCTGCTGAGACTTGAGTTAAGCTGGTATTGGGAAAGCTGCGAATCAGGATGGGGGCTCTCTGTGCTTACTAGTGTCTATTCTTTGGGAACAGACTGACAGGAAATCTTTTAAACAGCATTTACCTTACCCTTAAAATGCTTACATCACTAAGAAAATCATGAAGTTTTATATCACCATGAAAATGAAAGAAAGTGACAAGATGTAGCTTGTCCTTAGCTGAGTCCATTTGTACGTCTGTACTTCACTCAGATTTCAGGCTCCAGCACAGTCCTGTTTTCAAGTTGATACGGTCTTCTTCCCCTAACTTTCCCACCCAATATACCTATTCGGACCACGTTCTACCTATACTCAACTTGTGAAACTCTGATATCGATCATGTTAGATCAGCCTTAAAGAGATCCCTGCATGAGTCAGTCAATAATGCCAGAATCCAGCCTTGATGAAGTGTCAAGCACATTTCCAAGGCAGAAAAGCTCCCTGCAATGCCATAGCGTGAGCCAGTCCCACAAAGTCCAAATTCTTGCAGTGATAGCAGAAATAATTCAACTCAGGCAAACAGACTTCATAATCTAACACAGTCATGTCCTACTCTATTGCAGGACAGATCTACAGTCCAAGAATCATTAGGTAAAGTCAATTTAGTAATACACAGACATTTGTTTGCCTGATTACGCATCTAAACTCCTGCCCAATATCATTAAGACATTCCTGAGACTGGCACTGATATGTATCATTC